AAGGGAGTTTTACATTAGTTATCAGGAGGAAATCAGCTTTAATGTGTTTAATGTGTGTGGTAATTGCTGTTTTGAGTCAGAAACTATAAAGACGTCTGAGGTTAAATCAAACAGCAGGATTACGTTATCTTAGCTCAGCTGCTCAGCGTCAATGGAATTAAATAACACCAGAAGGGTGGTCGGGGAGTGCACACCTCCACCGAGGTTAACACCCTCTCTCCCAAAGCTAAAGAAAGTGGATTTGCCCCTTTGAGTGGGCTGTGAGGTTTCTGTGGGTCACGTCCCACAAGTTTCGTGAAGTAGATTTTGAGAATCTTGTTGACGGACAAACAAACGACCATGAAAACACTAGATCAGAGCACAGAGGCTCAGAGTAGACTCAGGACAGACCAACCAAACCGATCTACATGTAGTATTTGGTTTGACGGAGGAAGCCGGGAATTATTTAAACTCCACACAGAAGGACATTGGTCGCAAACCCTCTTGCTGTGAGTCCGTGCCCGATTTTAAATGTTTTCTATCCTTCCACCAAGTTTTGTGAAAATCTGTTCGCTTGGTTCTAGAAAATCCAAACAAACAAACAAACACAGACGTACTAACATTGAGTTGAGACGTACAGCGGCGACAACAGATCCTCCTTGTTGCAGGTAATAATGATCACCACTGAGGCATCCACACATTCGAGCGCAACTGAGCCACTAGACTGAGGAGGAAGCGTTTTTTCCAAACTCACTCTGACGCCCACAGCCTCAGACTTGGAGACCCAACTCTGCAGATCGTTACAAGTCAGACGGGAAACTCAGTCGCTCTTCAAAACTACAACAAGTTGCCATGAAGTTTGTTTCAGATGATTGTTCTGCAGGGAGAACTGTTCCCAATGATTTTATTGACGGCTTCTTTTCTCCTCCTTGAGGGAGAGGTCAATGATTTCTCCTGGAGCGACACATTAACATCAGGACTTGAGACTGTATTCCTAAAATCAATGGACAAACCTCTGTGAATATCTGATTTGAATATTCCCCCTTCACTGCTGAAGGAATACTAATGTGAACTTGTGGCGGCACTCGGGTCAGAACCACCGCTTTATTCACAAGAGAACCCAAAACACAACAGGTGGATTTCTGAGAAACTCACTGGACACCTCTATTCTGTCCCGAGGACTTAACATTTCCAGGTTGATCACTTCTCTATGGCGCCGTTATTAGATCAAAATGTCAGCCTCTGCACGCAGAGTATCATAACTCACTGGCACAGCGCCATGAACGCAAGTGAGCAGATTAATGTTTCCGGGGGGGATTAGCCTTTTTGACTTTAATGACCACATGCTCTGATGGAAACTGTATCCTCCAGGGGCCACTAGTGATCATTTAGACTAAGCTTTTTAAAGCGTAATCTTGCCGTGACACTTTTTTAATCTGAGCAGTTTTTACATGGCTGATTTCAGAGACAGGCACAGGGAACGTCTTGTGGGTCGACGCTCAGGTCCAGTGAGTGCGATTTAGGCAGAGGGGATCTAGAAACGGAATAAAGAAGAACCCTAGTGGTGTGTTTCATCGAAGTTCCATGGATTGTTGTTTTCTTTACTCTAGAATAAAACTTAACATTTAAATACCTTATATTTAAATACTTAACATTTAAATACCTTATATTTAAATACTTTACATCAGGAGCTGGTCCTCTCTGTGGAGGCTGCCATGTTTTTTACAGAAGCCCAAACTGGACAAACTAAACGTCTTTTGAGTTTTTAATGACGACTGAAGGTTCTTTTTTTCATATTCGGAGCCTCGTACATTTGCATAAAGAAGCTAGTCTGACACGCCCCCTAACAAAGCCACGTAGAGCGAGAGCAGACGCCGCCATTTCCTGTACTGATAAAGACGCGTTGCAGTGTTGGACGGTTTCAAAAGATATGACGGCACAGGTAAACTCCCAGGAGCTGCTCAGAGTGACAGTGAGGATTGGTTGCTGGATGGTGCACATTAGGATAACGTGGTCGGAGTGATCTTTAAGTGAGAGGACTTTTTCTGCCTCGTCTCAGTGAAACAAAAAATAAAAATAAAGGTGACAACATGGGGGCCGCAGTGATCTCACCTGTCATGTTGCAGTACACCTGCGCGGGCCCCAGGGGACCACTCCCATCTGGATCTATGGAGTAGAAGCCCGAGGAGCTGCCAATCATCTTGTACGCCTCGCAGGACGACTCGTAGATGGCTGAAAGCAGAGTGAGGACAGGAATCAGATATCGCTCCGACAGCTCGCTCCTGCACACTGCACACACATATTCACCTTGAATAAAGAGAGGTGGTGTTGTTGTTCTATCTATAGCAGGTGCTCTGTATGGATCCTGCTGTTATATATTCAAATTCACTGTTTTACTTGTGTAATTAATCAGCATCGGTTAATGTCTGAACTCTTTCGGAGGAAGTTGAGTTTCTTGTTTACGTGCAGATATTAAAAAACATGATATTTAACACACATAGATCACGAAGGAAGCGTTTTGAAAATGATTTCAGGATGAGGACCGATGGTTTATAGAGTTTTTCAGCGATGTTAATAAGCCGCTAACGTTATCTTATTTTGTTTATATAGTATCCATTGGAAATATTCTAGTTCATGTGCTGTTGTGAAGTTGCAGCCCAGGAAATAAATTCATTGTAGAATGAAGGTAGTTGATCAGCGTGACAGGTTAATTATGTATAAAAACCTTTTTTTCCATGTGGTTGCTCTTTTATCTGTTGAGCAGCAGAAAAAGACACTTGATTCCAAACGGTGTCCAAACTGTGTCTCTCACACTCAAACACTCAAGTTTCAGAGATTCACACGGAAAATGTGTTTTTGAGGGAAGCTGATGACAGTTGAGGTGAAAAAAAAAAAAAAAACTATTTTTAATTCAGCAGATGCTCTTTTCTGTCATGTTCCCTCTGACGTGCAAGAAAGAAAAAAAAAAAAAACACACTGCATATAAACAACTGATCAGTATTCTGGGGCAAGGGGATTTCACACATAGTTTCCAGCACCAGTCTCCACAGCCGATATTAAGGCGTTGTCGGGGAAAGTCAAAAAATGCAGCCCGCGAGGAAAAACTCCTCCGTGTGGAGTCAGACTGAAGTCAGCCGGTCTGTAAAGCTATTTAAGAATATCGCAGAAAAAAAAAACATTTGAAAGTGGGAATAGCAGCGATGATTGTGAGGTCATGTCAGGTTGAAGCGGGACAGGTTTTTTTTTTGCTTCGCCTCCTCGGGGCACAGAGCGACGCTACGAGCGAGACAGGAAAAGATGTGTGTGCAGAATCAAATGACACAGCTCACTAGACCTCGAATAAATGGGGAGGTACAGAGGCTGTAATGGCAAGTTTGAGACAAGGTGGTGAAATGAACTTGAGACGAACTGCTCACAGTTGTGACAGGTCGCTCCAGAGTAACCCGTTCCCGAGCAGTCGCAGGCGAAGGAGCTCCACGTCTGAGCGCAGCGGCCTCCGTGTTCACACAGGTTCGGGAGGCACCTGCAGAAACATGGAGTTTGGTTATTTGCATTATTAGTTACAGTCATTCTCTTCATGAATCAAATCTGGTCAGACTTTATATAAATAGAGTTACAGGAGCTGGCTCGGGGGGGGGGGGGGACGCTGGCCCCAGCTGAAATCTGATTGGCCCCTGAAGTTTCCACAATCAGCTTGAACAAGGAGCAATATTCTAAATATATCAATGTTAGTGGCTTTGGTCTCAAAGCTTCAGAGCAAGGAATGTCCTGAATGAATCAGGGGTTGTGTGTGGATGCTGGACATATCATTTGGCCCTCCGTGGAAACACCGCGGCCCCTTTACGGCCCCTGATTCAGAAAAACCCTTGATCCACCACTGCACCGAGTAGAATGCAAGCGGCACCACGTCCCCCACACTTTTAGATATCGGTGCTCAAAACGCGCCTGATTTCTTTTCCCTCAAGCTCCGTGAATCATCCGTGTGAAAATGGTGAAAATGTTGAAACTCTTCTTATCTCACGATGTTAGAGAAAGCCCCATGAAACTCTCATGGCTGCTCCCCTCCCCCGACCAGAGTTTCCTGGAAATCCTTCAAGTGGTTTTTGGTGAAATGGTGAAAATATAACCTGAGATGAAATAAATAAATAAATCAGATTAAAAAATAAAGCAGGTAGATTCAGATAAATTGGATTTAGAGAACGCTAAATGTAAAATATCCGGGAATATTAATATATAATAAAACTATATAAATGTCTGGTTTGCCTGAGCAACAGTTCCTGTTCCTGTCGACCGACGAGTTGTTTCAGCTCCAGTTTACTTTTAATGCACCTTTGTTTTCATTTAAGCCAATTTTCCAGCACATGGATTCATAAAGGAACTCTCGCTGCTAGTCGCAGGAGAAACGACAGAAATTTCTTGACAGCGAAACAAAACAAACCTCGGAGCCGTTTGTGTTTCAGTAGAAAACTCTTCTTTTGTTAGTGTTTACAAAGCTGATCTTTTATTTATCAGGTAAGCAAGACCCCTGTTCACCGCTCCGCTTTATTCTTTTGTCTCCTGTTATGAACACCAGCGTTTGAACTCGCCCAGAGAGAATCATTTGCTGTTTATTCATGTTCTGTGAAGCAACATTAAAAATCCAGAATAACTGTGAAATCGCAGCGTCTCACACTGCGCCCTTGTCTGTGTTTCTGAAAAAGCTGACACATCGAGGTGTTTGTCTAAAAATAAAAGCATTACTGTCACCTTCAGACTAGAATGCCCGTTAATGGGATTTCACCACAATGAGCGCTTCACAGAAATTTTTAAACCGCACTTTTCTGATTAATAGTCCCTTCCTCAAGCCTCCTCCAGTTTCACATAATTGCCAGCCTTCCGAGCGTGCATCTATAATTTCATACACTTTCATCTCTCACCTATTAACTGCAGTGGAGTGGAGTGGGCCAGCCGCAACACAGATAAGGTTGCACCCACTGGTTTAATTACCATCAAGCTATTTTCTGTTCTAGTGTTCACGAGTGCCCGTGCAGGTCATGAAATTACAGTAGCCGGGCGCACCCAGCTGCACGCTCACCGAAAATTAAGTCATGCGATTTAATTACACACAGAGAAAAGGAAATTAACACAGATAAGTTAATTTTCTCATACGCTCGGGTCATTAATATGCAACAGTCGCCTCAAGGCAATAAACAAAACATGGTGTTGTGACCTCACATCAGATAAAAGCACAGAGACACATTACAGATCATCAATCTTTGACATCGTGATGCAGTGATCTGTTGTCTCGTGCGTTCCTGCAACAGTTTTATGGAAAGGCGATTTTTACAAATTCTCCGAAATCGGATTTAGAGAAAGTAGCACATCAAATTTTTTTTGCAACACTTTAATATGATGTAATATTTTCTAAGTGTTTTACACGAGATATAAAACGGTTTCATGACGAATTAAAGGCAACCTTCTTCTCTTTTTAAAAAACCTGGATGGTTCATTACGTAGCAGCAGATCAGCTCATCTGTTTAACGGCGCCGTGTTTGGCCGTGACGCCTCGCTGTCATCGTCGTGTTGTTCTGCTTGATGTGTAATCGTTCGTGACCACGTTTGTCATGTTGACTTGATAAGATGATAATTCGTTAGTCTGGTGTCCGTCAGGTTGATGTGAAGAGATTTTTGCGTCCCGGTGGCCACAAAATGATCACAGACGCTTTGAATGTTTTTCTTTATACGATTCAAATGGTTACGGATGTGCTTTTAAAACATCCGAGTTCATCAAGAAAATCTATTTCAGCCCGATTCCCTCATTACATTCCCGCTCATTCATCGTATATATTAAACTTTAGATGTGTGCACCTCCGCTCGGGGAGAAAAAAAACTTGTCTCATTCAATCTTTCTGTCATTTCCCACAGTGCATCCCTTCACCTACTGACGCGACAGACTGGCAGCGCTGTTGTGTTTGCATATCCTCCGACAGCGAACAATCTGGCCTTGAAAAAGGTAGTTTGAAATCTGACAGAGGAGCAAGTCTCCTCGGGGCAAATCCACAGAAAAAAAAGAAAAAAAAAAAGGCAGTTTGCATGTTTGCCTCGTTGCTTTAAATGTTCCGAGCCACAGGCAGACATCCGGCGAGCTCGTGGGTCTGCTGCCCCCGTTCACAGGGCCCACAGCTGTGCAGGGTAATGAGGGATAGCACGCCACACAGGACAGTAGGAAGCAGCTTGTTAGCATAGCCCTCTGCCAGAGAAGGTGTTACCGAGATTCTGTTGCAATTTAATTGGATGATCCTGTCAGCATGTTTGTCTCCATGGGACAAGATGTCAGTGACTTTCAGGCTGCAACATACTGCCATCCTCAAATTAACCACGCGGGCATGAATAACTCTGCTGCCAACTCGGATAATGTTTCCCCGATTTTTATGTCTGACGCATTTTGTCTGTCACCGAGATCTCTGAGAGAACCGTCCTCTAATTAAACAAAAGAGTAAATAAGAGATTTTATTCACCTGTCTCTCATGTTGCACGTGTCGAACTGAAGCTCGTTGTAATTTCCCAGCAGTCCTTGCTGCACGTGGCTGAGATTCACCGGCTGGCCGTTGAGGAACATGAGCCGCATGCAGCCTTGGAAGGACGGAGTCGGGCCGTGGCAGTCGGCGGCAGGGCAACCTGGACGGAGACAAAACATGAACACCTGCACAAGCAACACTCACCGTTCAGGAAATGTTCTGTTAACGTGTATTAAAGGGGATTTTAATCCAATTAACTTCTCTAATATCTCCTCGCGGTGCGCTCGATATACGTTCTTGTTTAAATACACGAAGCCGCAACAACAGTATTCGTGCTTGTGAACAGGGCGGGGGGGACTTCAGGGGCAGTGGGAGCCAGACGGATAAAAACAACTCTGAACCGGTAACTGTGATTTCCATGGAGTCATAAACAGTATGTGTATGTTGATCCTGGTCTCTGGAACAATTTCAAATAAAACACGATAACGTTATCATCCATCTGTCCAGACCTCGACTGTTCCAGCAGAAGCAGCTGCCGTCAGCCGCTGGAAATGTCACAGGAAGGGACTCGCTCCAAATACCATGTCCTGAACCATCCTTTAGTTCTGCTGCTATAGGTCTAGACTGCTGGGGGGGGGGGACTCCCATCATGCACTGAGCACCATCTTTCCATCCACCATCTTTCTGTCTCTGCCGCCACATTTCTTTATTTCTTTATTCACCAACATGACACTAACCAATGTCTCTCTGTCTGTGTGCAGGTTTCTGTGACTCCAGAGCTGCAGGACTCAGACGACAACTACTATTATTATATGAACTGTTGCTGCTGTCATTAAAAACATCTTCACGTCATTAATTATCACTCTTATTGTTTTCGTTTCTCTCTCTCTCTCTCTCTCTCTCTCTCTGGAGTTCGGTGCAGCAGCAGGACGTAACACATATTTTTATTTACATCAACACCAGCGTCGGCTCCCGTCTGAGATGTTTGTTTTCTTTTTTGTTTCATCCGTCGCATGTTAGAAATGTCGCTAACACCCGTGGGTTCTCCGGAGAACACCCCGCTGTGTCGTCATATCCGGAGTTTTTACCGAGCGGCTGCAGGAGAAACTCTGGAGAATATCCGCAGTGTGCCTCAGACGTTCGTGGGGGTGGAGTGTACTTGTATTGTGTCTTGAGTTCAAACATCAACAATCCTCTTACCTCACCTCTAGAGAGTAAAATATTAATGCATCTTTACAGCGAGAGAATCCACAAACCTCCAAAATACAAACTGCCTCTCGACTCCACTTGCTCCCACAGCTCAGTGGTGGAGCACGGCTCTCCGTCCACGGTCACAGAGATCTGAAGGTTCCTGGTGTCCAGACTCACCGAGTGCCACAGTCCGTCACTGACTCGGAAACCTGCAGAGGAACATTCCACATTTTCAAACAGCTCAGTCAGCGGCAGCACAGAAAGTTATTTGTCGAGGGCCCGGAGGCTGTGAACGATTTCCACCGCTGTGCCCTTGTTTCATCTGAATGTGTGACACAGTCATAGCGGCTGCGTCTTCCAAGTACTTCCTGTTCATCAGGGCTCCGTGCAGCAATGGCCACGGGAGCAGATGATTCATTTCACCGGCGTTTATGTTTAATTAGAGAAACACACGTTTTGATTCGGATATTTTTGAACCTGCCAATGTACAAAACCCCAATTTCCCCTCAGCACTTTGCCTCCGCACAGTTTTTTTTTTTTCCCGGCATCACACGCAGTCGACTGTAGCCTCTTCAAACAAAAGTCAAACACCTGCACGGAATCAAGAATAGTATATAGATAAAAGTATGTTTATTGTAAAGTGTGGTTAAAAAACTACATTTCCTTAAAATGTCAATTCTGAAATATTTTTTATTTTTGACCCCAAAGAACCAAAATCAAGCTGAAAATCATTTCCAATCAGAAAGAGTAATAATCCAACCAAGTTCCAGACATAAAACATTTCTTTTAAAATGACACTGACGTCTAATCCTCCCCGAGCTGCAGCGCTCAGGAAAACAACATCATTATTTCAGCAGTGACTTGAAATGACTGAGCCACACCTCCGTTCTGCCCGCGCCGACTGGTCCCCGACTAAATTTGCATCCAAATTGAGCTGCGTGTGCTGAGGCTTGGGCACCGAGCAGAATGCACCCTGGGAGTGATTTTAGTTAGTCCAAAATGAGACGTGTCCAAGCTCCCGGGAAAAGTTGAGATTTTCACACAGTCCACTGATGCCTGTCGCTTACAGCAGAACCTTTTATCCCACAAGACTGCGAGTGCCTTGGGCATTTTTCTCCACTCCATTGACTGCTTCACGGAATAAACAGTGTAGCCGCGAGGGACTGCGGGCGAGCATCAGAGGGAGTTTCCTCTTCCCCCCTTTCAGCTCATATATATATCATGATCTGCTTGCTATCCTGCTGCTGGCCAAGCTGGGAGTGTCATAGCACTGCCCAGGCAGGCGTGTTCTCTATCACAGCGATGATCTGCATGAGCATCGCTGCCCCGTCAGGAGGAACAAAAGCCTTTTTCTCACGTGTGAGACGACACCTTTGAGCCCCACTGACGCCTCCTGGAAATACACATTTCAAGGTTTCGTGCCGTGACTGCGGCGACCTGCTGTTGCAACGACCTCAAGCTCTTCCAGCAGCGACTGACGGCGGGAGCTCGATGAAACAAAAGCTCGTCTTGCTGTTTCCCGTCGCGTGCGTGTCTCTTTGTCTGAGTATGAGACAATTAAGCCTATGGCTGCTGATGCAGATGATGTCGGGGCCGAACAGAGAAAGAAACAGATCAATATTTGTTCCACACTAATGCTCTTCAAGCATTTTTTTTTATCAAACACTGGTGACTGCGTTTGTGCCGAAGCTGTTCCACTCTCCACTTGTCGAACTTAAACAACTAAGAAACATTTCTAATAAAACAGAAATTAAAACAGCAGGTTAAATATAGAGGAATTAGCTGATTTGCAGGAAACCCAGGACGAGCCCCACGGCTGATTAACGATCGCTCAAAGACCTCCGCTGTGCTCTCTACTTTTATACCTTCACATGACGGAGGGGAGAAAAGCTGAAAATGATTTAATCTACAAACTTGATTCACTCTCAGTTAAAATCCATAGTTTGAGACTCACAGCTTAACTTGGAATTCACGCATTAATTTGCTGCAGCAGTTTCGGGTTATTAATGACGACAATGATTTTTGCAGCCGATGCGAGACAATATAATGATGTTGCAGAGTAAAGAGGCATCAACAGGTATCTCTTTAAACTTAGCGTGACCTCAACCCCTGCGCAGCTTGCAGTAAAGATTTAGCAGCAGTCAGTCCGGCCCTCTCTGCTCAGCTCTCACTGTTTGTTATGATTCAGCACATCCATCATAGGGAAGATTTCCAGCGGCTCCCAGGATCATTCACCCTTTTCACACTAGACCAGCATTATTTCAGTACCCTGGTGTAACGAGGGAATTTACCCCCCACGCCCATGTTTGATGCGGTGCACTTGCAGAGGACGAGTCTGCGTCTTACACACATTTGCAGACAAGATCCCAGGGATTATCTCTGGGTGCGTTTAAAATGTTAATGGTCTCCATGGTGGGTGGCTACATTAGCTTCCCCCTGAATTTGTAAACCGAGATGCTATCGGCCGCGCTTGCTCGATAATAATTTCAGCGGCGAGGGTGTGACCTCAGAACATCCACCCAAGGACGAAGCAAAACAAGGAATCCGAGTGAAAATCAGAGGGTGAATAAATAGATAAACACCACAAATTAGCGAAGACGTCGATTCATATCAAAAGCAAAGTGAGAGATTACATCTTCACTCTGCTGAATTAATTTGGGGGCGAAACTTTAACTTCACACATCACTGCAAACAATAAGCAGACTCCAGGTCATATCTATTACACCGATAGGCCCCAGAGAAGATCATTTCATATTTGAGGTAAATTATATAAAACAGGAATACGTTCCCTGAGCTGCGGTGGTTGTCGTCTCCATCTATATTCCCCTGCAGCTCACCGTTTCCTGAAAGTCCGGCTTAACCAGCCAATCATAGTTATCCCCGTTATCTCTGCTTAGCAATCCCAAACACAGAATTGGATCAAATTTTTCTCCCTGTGAGAAAATAAACTTTTTTATTGAGGACAAAGGTGATAAAAGTAAGTCAGATGAAATTACCGGCGCCACTCAGCGTGCTGTGTTTCCAGATTCTGGATTAGGGTGAGTGACACTGTCTGTCTTTGTCTGCCTCAGTTAAGTGAAGCACACAAAAACAAGAAGCCTGTCGCACTTCGGGGGTCGACATGCTCAAGTAGAAGCATCTCAAGTTCCCCCCGACAAGTGAGATTTTAAAAAATGCACATGCATTATCGTCTCTGAGGTCAAGTTTTTAAGGATGTGGTTCATTCGTGTCTTTGGCAAATGTAAAAGTTCTGCAAAGTGGAAACGTTCAAAGTAAAGGGAGCACCCCTCCCCCACAGAAAACCCTTGTACTGTCACACCAGCGTGAAGTCGTGCGGCGTCACACTGCCCCACATTTACATAATGGATCAACACAGAACATTAACGAAGCAGATGAAGTCACGATTCAATATTTAGTCTTAGTTGCTCTGAGCTCGAGTTGTGTGTTGGGTATTTTACAGTATTTTATTTTACCTCTTCTAACTTTTCTTTGCTGGAGCGTTGCTCCTTCAAACCAAATTCACCCCACTACACTAAGACCTCCATTGTTGAGCCAAGGTTCCTGCTTCATTTTGTTTTTGTTTCTACTTCTCAATCCTGATTGATGGGCTCAGTGTTTGTGGTCGTTCACCACACTGAGTTAAACGAATCTTTACAGCAGGCGTCATCACTCAATCATCACCGGACCGGAACCAATGTGTCAAACACGGTTGAAAGAAAATGAGTGTGTAATATTTATTTTGGATGTTTGTATCATGGTTTTAAAAAACCATTAGACCCCCAATGACGTCATTGAATTGTTATGATCATGCAGTTAATGCAATAATTTGGTCAGTAAGAGTTAATGGAGCCATGGACCGTCCTTTTTTTCAATTTATGTTTCAGCATATGTGTGTGTGTGCTGTGCACTGACCGGTGGAGACCTCTGACTTCTGTTGTCCTGAGCTGTGGAGGGTCAGACGCAGTTGGGTGTTGCTGATCTGCAGCTCCAGTCTCTGGGGCTCCGGGTTCAGCGCCACAGACATCAGAAGCCCATCTGGGTTCCACGTCCTGAACTGGAAGCGGACAGAGAAGCCTCCCGTGGCAGATGCTGCTGATGGAAGCGACAGGAAGCTGCTGCCGGAGCTCAGAAAGGTGCAAGCCACCAGCTGGGGCTGCGAGCACGAGAAGGTCACGTTGCCCTGGAGGATGACAAAGCCAAGGACGCAGATTTGCATGTATCTTCAGCTCTGTTCGGGGAAGCTGGTCTCATGTGAAATTCATTGTTATATGTCTGGAAATCAATGTCATACGCACAAAAAGGGGCCAGATGGTTAAAGAGCCACGAGCAAAGCCTTAACCTAACCTCCGCCAGGATCATTAAGGGACATCTTTTACCGGTTACACCGAATTATCCGTCATAGATTATAAAGTGATCAGCAGCAGCAGCAATTAGAAACCTAAAACTAAAAATTAAAAACCATACATTCAGAACGTCACCTCTGACAGTTATCAACAAATCTCCTCGTTAAGTCTCTTCAACGTGCTGGAGGTTTCTGTCCCTGGATAGTTGGGTCTGTAACCCCACTGTGAAATCACCAACTCGTCATTCTTACTTTTCAGGTTTGTGACAGATGTTTCGTGAACTTGTTGGCATGTTGTGATATGAATCGTTAAATATACTGGCGACCAGCCCTCTGCAGCAGCAGCAGCGACGGTTGGGACTCGTTGACATAAGTGACGTTATTCTCTCTCTGCAGCAGCGTGTGTTTACTTTCAATTTCTGCGGGTCGCTTACACGGTTTTAGGAAAAAAATGAATATTTTCAGCATCAGAGACTTAAACAACCGATTCCAAAAAATGTCATATGACGATGTGACTAATAAATTAATGTTGCTTCCACCTTGAAATAAAGATATTTTCTGTGGATGATGATGAAACACATTTGACTCGGCGGCAACGCAAACTCAAACATGAGCAGAAATTCAGAAACGGATTGGGTCCAATGAGAATCCGTGGATTTATCTGAAGTTTGTTTGCTCTAAACCAAAAAACGTGCAGCAGCCCGAGATAAAAAAAAAAAAAACAACCTTTCAGTGTACTTCTGTGCTGTGCAGAGGTTGTGTTGGGCACATTCAAACTTCAGACTGGTCATGTCTGTCGAGGTCAGAGTCCTATCAGTCCCGACGCCTGCAGGGCAGCACAGAGCAATCACAGCTCTTTGACTCTCAATGTGATTCCTCTATCAACCTCAGGGAGATTGTCCCATTGAAATTCCATTACAGCTTCCATCTCGACGCTCTCCCTCTCCACCGCCCGGCCTCTGTTGTCAGTAAACGCTTTTTAACGCAGCAATCAGACATTAAATGGAGGGGGTGTCTCAGATGAGATGTGGCTCGTGGCTCTTTGGTCGACCGGTCTGATTTGTGCGGGAGGTCGAGTCTCTAAATGAATCCACTCACACACTTGGACTTAATGATAGAGTGGTTAAGATTGCAGAGGACGTAATGATTGTTTGCAGGTTACGCCCTCTTTCCCATTTCGGACCGGAATACTTTAAATCAGATTAATCAAATATCAACAAACGGAAACAAGAGAACGCAAACTTTTACTTTGCTTTTTTGTCAAAGTGAGCTTATCAAGCCAAAAGCCAAAACGTCTTGATCCTCCCCCGGTGGCTGCACTGGTTTTAATCCCAACCTCCTCCATGTTAGCAGATGGAACATGTGCCAGAGTAAATTATTTTAGGTGGTTCTCATCACGCTGTTAGCTAATGAGCTAATTGATGCGGTGAGGACGTGGTGAAGTAACTTGAATGGCAGCTGATTGTTGTTCAGGCAGTGGAGACGAGTCATCCATCTTTATTTACACCCGGAGCTGTAATATGTGTTACGTGCTTATTGGCAAACACTAGCATGATAATTCCCTGAACTCATCTATCACACATAGTAAACATCATAATTGTTAGCACCATCTCCGAGAGCATGTGAGCGTACTGTTGTTAGCATTTAGCTCAAAGCATCGTTGTGGCTGCACAGAGCTACAAGCTCAGAGAAGGAAACGTTCCTGCGTTTAATTCAGTGTAAACTGGAATTTAAAAACATTGACTTCTACAGTGATCTTTATTTACAGCTTACAAATACAGTGTCTTAATATATTTTCATCTTTTTGATTAATTGCAACGCCACACTCTATGATCACCAATTTACGCTGTATTACATATTGACTCTCATCCTCTCAGAATCCCTGTGTTGCCAACTCTCTCTTCTCTTTCTGTTACTGTCCCTTTCTCTGGAAATACAATTAAATCAATTTTCCCTGCGACAAAGATGTTCTGGTGTAAGAATGTAAAAATGTCTCTGGGTAATACATTTGTCTGACTCTTGCTGGATCTGCAGAGAAAGCTGAGGATCCTGATCTGGTAGAATCGAGCTTCCACAGATGTACGTTCTCACAGATGTGAAAAAGAAATGTCATATGAAATTGCAAAATATTTGCGCTACATAAAAATTATAATGTTTTTCATCAGGAAGTTTATTTTACAGCTGTTAAACATCTAATCTCTAAATAATCAAATGTGTTTTCATGAGATGTTTATGTAAAAAAAAAAAAGGAATATTGGTTATGTTCTTATCAGATTTTGAAAAACCCAAATATTATTATCTGTATCTGCCTGAAAAATCAAGTAGACGTCTGGCTCTTAAGCCCGAGCGTTTCAACATCCATCTTCAAAAGGAAGATCTAATGAATTTCGCAGTATAGAGCACGTGCACTGAATGCAGATGTTCAAGCAGCTGACTCACTCTGATTACATGCAGACACACTGAGAGTCCATCAAACTCACCACACTGTGTATCTGTGGCTTGCGTCTCTTTGCCAGGTCTATGATATTGATCCCGTTGTAGTAGAGGTTCTCCATGCAGCCGTGGAAGTTCTTCCTCAGGAAGGTGCCGGGTTTACCAGGGAGCGGGATGCCCCCGAAACTCAGCTGCACGGTGAAAAGGAAACACAAGAGGTAAACCACTTATCCCTGGATACACAAACAGGTACAAACATGCATATTCATGTTCGCTATGTTTATACAAATCATTTCCATTCTGTTCTGTATTTTACCGCGGAGCCATCGTCAGACGGTGTAAACGCATGCCTCAAAATACATGAAGCCCACACACTTACCAGTTACTGCATAAACAGCTGAGGCCGTGATTCAGCAAGTGAGAAAACACCACCCACTCACTGAATCCAGACCCAGTACACTTCACAGTGATTACATGAACACAGCATGTGAGCCTCTGGTTTGCAGCTTTTCATGGTTTGGTGTTTGTCCTTTTGTTAAACAAAGGGAAATCTTGATGCTGCAGCCGTTTGGGAGGGAGAGACCTCATCTTTCTATCAGCGTGGCAGTCTGTACCCTTGTGCGCAAAAAGTATATCCATAAACATTTTTTTTTCTTTGTTTTTTGATTTTTTTCTGGGAGAACTTGGCCGGCCTGCACAGATCTCTGACTCCAGCTCTATCGAATGCCTCTGGGGTGAACTGGAACACCAGCCGTGAGCCAGGCCTTATCGCCCATCATCTGAGCCCACCCTCACTAATGCTCTTGTGGCTGAATGGAGGCAAATCCTTTCAGCCAGGTTCCAAAATATTTCTGAAAGCCTTCCCAGAAGAGTGGAGGCTGTTATCGCAGCAGAAGAATGGCCACGGTTTTGGTATGACATTATTTTGCCGTTGCTTGAGTCCTGGCCCTCCTCACATTACAGTCAAGGTCCAGGAGAAGCATGTTTGCTGAATTTCAACACTTGCTTTGATTCAAAGTGCTTCTGCAAAGAGCACGAAGTTCCGTGAGTGCCGGCAGAGGCGAGACAATGGACAAAGTTTTTGTGAGAACCATTCAAAATATCACCTTTAATTACTCCGTCAGAATCGGAGCATCGTTTTAGATTTATGTAATTAACCCAAAACATTTTCTCAAGGATATCTAGCTGTAGTTACGTCTTAGATAAACACTTTCCATCAAACTGCTCTTAAAACTCCACGCACACTTTCTCAAGGTTAATGCCCCCCCCCCCCCCCCCCCCCCCCCCCTGATTTGTGGTGTTCTCCAAGGCTCTACCTTTGGTCCGTTATTGTTCTGCACACACATGCAAAAAAATAAAGTGAGTGCTGAATTTCTCAAAAGCCTCTTCAGCTAAATGAAAACAAGGCAGAAGTCATTTCTTTTGGCTCACCGGAGCTGAGCCCTGTTTTAGAGAAACATTTTGTGAGCCCTTTCTGCAAATATCAAACCTGCAGCCGGAAACATGGGTGTGATATTTGACAGTGACCTTTCATTTGCAAAACAAATCACAACCGATAAAAATCATGTTTTTATGGGTTAAGGAGCAGCTCAGAGATCAGGTCTTCTCTCTGTCGGCCTGATCTCGAGAAGGTCATCCATGCTCCTATTAAATCTCAGATAAGACGATTGTAATTCCTCGTACTCGGGCTTGACGCAGAAATCTATCTCATGCGTTCAGACTCACAAACAAGACCATATCAACCCTGAAGGAGTCTCTCTCTCTCTTTACCATTTACCAATAAGTTAAAGCACTGATCTGGATATTTTGCGAATCACCTTTAACGAAAGTTATTGAGTTCCCAGCGACGTTGCTGCTTAATTAAAAACTGTTCATTACCATTATAGTTTTCATAATTTCAGTTCAGAGCTTGATGATGATGATGAGGTTGTCAGACCTTCGCTGACCACATTTATTAAGTGGTACAATCACTCTCGCTTACCTTCAATTTACGTAATTGCCTCAGCTCATGGACTCACCTCATAGTCCACCTCCAGCGAGTGTCCCTCTCCTTTGGTTTGGAAGTGCTGTGTGTGGGAGTCCACTGTGAGGTTAACCTGCTTGTTGAAGCGCTCGATGTGAACCGAGTGCCAGTGCTGGTCGTCCAACAGACTGCCCACGGTGACAGCAACGCGGCCGCTGCTGAATCTCAGCCGGCTGTCGTCTGGGGAGGAACACAAAGGGAAGAGCTCAACACAGTGAGCGGCTTTACATTTCCCCGCAGAGGACACAGGCCGAGTTCAGACGTCGAGCAAAACAGCAAAACAAACGCCCGCGTGCACACACGATTATGATGACGTCTGCAAATATGGGATGAAGGTTGAAATGCGGCTTGAATGGTTATTAACTCCTCCGAGGAGGTTACGTTTTCACCCCTGTCTGACCGAGGGTTTTGTCGGTCCGTAAGTTTGTGTGAAACAGATTTCCACTATACTGGAAGGATGAGACACGAGCCAAGAGATATTTATCATTACTGGTTTCATGTGTTCTATTCACTTGTTTCTTGCTCTGCTGTCAAAGCACTTTGTAAACTCTGTTTTTAAAAACTGTGTCAGATAAAGTAATCGTGTCGTTGAACCGAGGTTCATCCTTTTCATTTTGTTTTCCCTCTTTTTAAAACATAATTATAATATTTTAATTTGGTCTCCGAGTTGTTCTCAGTGTTCCTGTGCAGCACCTTGAATCCACCTCCGTGTATGAAACGTTTCCCATGACAACCATCACTCGATCACGAACAGAGCATCGGAAATGTGAAGATCGTAGAGGCCTCTCAATATTGCAGCGATTCCGGAGTCGCCATGACAACACTGACATTTAAAAGATAAAATTCCTCTGTAAAAAAAAAATCACTGGAGGAAAAGGTTTGTGATGCATCGCTCACCTAAGTTGAGGTAGAGGTCCAGTCTTCCTCGGTGAAGCTCCAGGGTGACGTAATCTCCTCTCTGCCCTTCTCCGTGCAGCAACACGCCCTCGGCCTGGTGGCTCTTGAATCGCAGGGAGATCACGTCCTTCACCGTCGACATGGACTTCTGGTTGAACCGATACAGCAGCGAGCTTCTGCCGTCAAAGTCCGCCACGTACGACTCTGTGAGAAGATCAGTGAAAACTTGGGTCAGAGTTACAATGAGACAAACTGTGCTACTTGGTTGTGAAGATTCCATTGTGATGAAGTTGCTCGTCTTAAAAAATGAATAAAATCACTGCCAAGGCGAACAGAGCGGCCGTCCTGGATGTGCAACATGTTGCGGTTAGGTGTTGCCAAAACTGTAGGAGGAGTTTGGGAAACGAGAAGTGGAAAAATAAAAGTGTTTCATCGTGAGAAGATGAAAGATAATGAGGCTGTTGGAGGAAACAACGACAGAAGGAACAGCAAGTAAAATATAAGAACAACCGGGAGCCGTGCATCGCTTCACTTCACACAGCCAGTCAGGTTATTAATATATATGTGATGTATTAATAATATCAGTTCACACTGAAATCATCATCTGATCCAAACAAGCTGTAGATTGTGATACTGGCGGCGAGATGTTTTGCATTACTGCAGAATATGATCGACCCCCCCCTCCATCTGCACACACAGAATGTTTTAGAATCTAAATATGCTTTAGGTTGAGTATCGTCCTGCAAGATGCAGATAAAGATAATCACATTATTTATATATTATTTTCTGACCTCGTCACGAAGGGGAATGATTTCCTGATCAATATAAACTCTGCGGATTGATTAAATTACAAGTTAAGTTATTTTCTTCTTGACCTTTGACCCATCGGCTCCAAAAGTTAACAATCTGGAGATGCCC